AAAAGTCACAGTGGCTAGTGGCTGCCATATTAAACAGGCAAGTATAGGCCATGTCATCAATGCAGTCAATTGGGACATCAGGATCCTACGGTGCTGTGTATAGCTGATCAATACTCAGATGTGTTCTACTAAAACCAGGCGCTACGTAAAAGCTCTTTAAATTTAATCCTCATATTTCTTTTTTCCCTCACTTTACAGATGAATAATCTGAGGCACTGAGAGGTTAAGTAACTTGCCCAAGGAAACAAAGTAAGCAGTGTGCCAGGATTTCCAAACAGGCAGTGTCTACAGAGTCTCTGCTCCTAAATTTACATGGTGGCCGTATTTGTATTTATAGTGATTAACAGAGCTTTCTTCAGGACCTCACATTGATGCCAATTATATTTCATAGTCTGTTTTTGAACCCCATACTTTAATTTATCAAAAGATTTGGAAGGCTGATTGTGTTATACAGGCTATTAGCTATTGTCATAGTTTCTAATGCTGTGTAACAAACTATCATGAAACTCAGTGGTATAAAAACTTCTTTGCTTTTATATTTTATTATGTTCACTGGTTTATTGGGTCAAGAAGTCAGACAGGACACAGCAGAAGTGGCTTATCTCTCCTCCATGGTATGTGGGGCCTCAGCTGAGAAGATTTGATGGTAGGGGTGCCTCAGTGCTGGGGACTGAAAAGCATATAGACATCTTCACTCACAAGCCAGCCACTTATTGCTGGATGGTGCCTGGGACTTCAGCTGGGGCAACTAACCACAGCATTTACATGTGGTTTCTCAAGAGAACCTAAGTTTCTTTACAACATAGAGGCCTTAAATTGCATTTCTTACATAGCTCCAAAAAGCAGTGGCCTATCGGACAAAGCAGAGCCTGCATTTTCACTATCTAGTCTTGGAAGTTGCACAGTATCACTTCCGCCACACCATATTGGTCAAAGCAGTCACAATCCCACCTCTACGCAAGAAGAGCATAGATCTCACCTCTTGATAGGAAGGTGCAGGTCGTATTTTAGAAGAGCATATGGGATGGGAGACAGAAATGTAGTTATCTTTATGTAATGCTATTCTCCACACTCTTGTACTATGTATTTTGATGGCCCCGATGCGTGATATCACCTGAGCAGCTCGCCTGTGGGGGCACAAGCAGGGGATCCAAGAACAGGTGGAGAGGAGCTCAGGCAAGCACTCCCTATCGCCTCCCTGCTTTGGCGCCACATTGTGGCCATCACACATTTCTAGTTACATTTCTCTGTAAGTATAGCTCCCTTCACAGCTCCGGCTATTACTGGGTTCCAGCAACACTGTTTCCATTCCTCTTCCCTTTAAACTAAAGGTGCTAATGTTTTTTTGCTACTGCAAATCTCTAAGTGCCTCAGTATCCCTAGTTTGTTCCTAAGCCTTGCCCCAAATTCTATAAATAGAATTCCTGCATTAAACTCTCTTCATTTAAATTATTGGAGAGAATTATGATTCTTCCAAGGGCCATGACTGATACAGGCACATAACAGCAACTAAATAAAGATGGTTCAGAGTACAAATATGAAAAATTAATATCCAAACTTCCAATGTCTTCTAAGTATTTGACAGAATTGTTGAATAGTACACTTATGCCCCTCCATTGCTACACTGAATTTCTGAATTGACAAAGATCCAATATATACAGGAACTAAATGTCTCAACAATTATATCCTACTATTCTTTCAAAATTAATTTAGTCTACAAAATATGAGTGACTCCTTCAAAAGCTGTGTTCAAATAAACGTGTTCATTGGTATATTTCTGATTTATCATAAAAACGATCTCAGTTTTCTTTCATTCTTAAAAAACATGACCACCTCTTTGTTTTTATAGCACTTTAAAACAAAATACTAAATAGTTCTGTAGCTTCGATAGCTTTAAGACTGAAATTAAGCCGACTGGTCTATTCCTTCAAGAGCTTGCCTTTTGCCCATTACTTTAAAGCAAGAATATTTACCTATCTCTAACTTTCGGGCTACATGCCTGAATTCTATGAGTTCTCAAAGGGACTAGTGGTGATGAGGCTAATTACATCTGTGAAGTCCCTGATTATCCTAGATGATCTAGATCTTATTTTGTGGTACTGAATACCTTTAAAAAGACCAATATAAGAGCTATTATTTTCTGAATACCAGATAAGTATCTTAGTGTTTCACTGCAACCCATTTACCGATGCTCTATTTCAACTGCTGTTTCTTCTACACATTATACTATTTAATAAGTCAATTTATTTTATTTTAATATATTATTTTCCCCAAAAGGAGAACTTTTTCCTTTAAATGTAATTTGTCCCTTATCTCTAATTAAATTTTGTGCAAACCTCATCTCATTTTGGCCCAGGTCTTACACTATCCTTACACTATTATTATAATTTTTATCCTTTTTCTTTTTCTATCTTTGAATCATTATGTTCTCTGACCTTCCAACATCTATACTTGCTCTTTTAAGTCAATGTCCTCTGCCTTCCCTGTGGTCTCTTGAAATCTGGCACCATTTTCTCCTCACTGGATTATTTGTAAACTTAGGACAATGTTTTGTTTGTTTTACCTTCCTTCTCTCTGGATTTATATTGCCATTTAGAGTTTCTGTCACGTCTTCCACCTGAACTCCAAGACCATCATAGCAAGAACTAAACCTCCCATTTCATTTTTTTCCCAAAGAATCCTTAGCATAGCATGTTATGCAAAAATACTTAACGTGTACTTGCCAGGTACAAGTATGGTGGGGAAAAAGAAATCATAAGTCACAACTCCTCCTCTTTAAGGAGCTTGTGGACAGTGGCATGGTATACCTTCACACATTACCTAAGGGAATAAGGGACCAAAGTTGTAAACTGAATATGAAAGTTGTCAATCCCAATGTCCTAAATGGTAACGTTACAGACTTCAGAAGTCATTCGTGATACCATCCTAGGCCGAGTGGCCACTGGTAGAGTTCTACAAAGGAGCCAGCCAGGAATGGGGTAGCAGGGAGAGAGGCCAGGTGGAGAGCACTTTCTTAAATGTGCTTGCCTCCCTAACTGTGGTTAATGGTTGAACATTCAACTTACTGAAATATAAGTGGGCAGCTAACTTAAAATTTTTCCAACTATTCTTTTAAGACTTGAACCGACATTATATCCTTACCTTAATCTATGTGGTTCTATAGAAGTGGTTCTTAACTGTGTCTTAGTGTCTAACACAAGTAGTTACACAACACTAACAAGCAGGGTGGATCCGGGTGCACGGGGCTGAAGCTAACAGCCTTTAAAAAAGAATACAAAATTAAGTGGAAAAACACTTTATATTTAGAATGAGAAAAGAAATCTCAATAACTGATTGGAGCCATGGAGATCTAGAATTCTTTCTTCTGAGAGTTTTAGGCAATTTAGCAGAAACGTTCACAGTGCTTCTGGCTGCAATCTGTCATTCCCTTCCCGCCTAGAAGGTCTATGACTCCCAGTGACTCCCAACATTTCCAGAGGCCTAAGCACATGAACACCTAAAGCTTAGCTTCACCTAAAATCCGCCTCTGTCAACAGGGGCTCATTCTTAAGAGTGGTTCTTAAGAGAGAGCTGGGACACTTAGAATCTGGGGAAAGAAACCATGTGACAAAACCATCCCACATGATCCTGATACACAGTTGCCACTCCCAACACCCTGTCTCCTGCCAGGCTGGAAGTTTCACAATGTACAGGCATACCAGAATATTCATCAACCAATAGTATCTCAGAAGGCAAGTGAAGAAGGGGCCAATTGTCCTTCATCCGAAAATAAAGTATGTGTGGAATATAAAAGGGCAGTGTTAACCTTTTACAAGTGAACCTAAATAAGTCCATTGTTTTACAATTTAAACACTAACTTTGAAATGTCACATGACTTTACCAAGAGCACAAAACTGACACTCTGGCTGAACATCTAGACTACAAGTGCTGTGCCTACCATTTCATTTAATCGTAAGAGGGAAAGAAAAGAGTTTTACATATTCTTCTCTAGTGTCAGGGTATACCTGTTCACTTGCTAATTTCAGATCGCTCTCCCGAAATAAAGCGGTGGTTCAATATGTTGCTTTACCTAACACCTCAAGGTAACACTTAACTACTGCCCAGGTTTCTTAGTAATTAATACAATGTTCTCATCTCTACTCGAATCTTCTACAGCAGCAACGTGAGAAACTGGAGTGACATTCAATGGCCCCGCAGAAAGGGGTTTTTTGGGCTTTTTTTTGTTGTTGTTTTTTTTCCAAAAAGAAAAACCACCAGTCGACACGCACAAGTCTACCACTAACCCGAGTCCATTTCTCTCCAACTGTACTACAAGAGGACCCGTGGCTCCTACGTTTCCAGGGGGGCGAGGAGCGAGAAAGCGGCGGCTGTGGTTTGGGCGCTGGCAGCCAGCTCTCTGAGGGACCCCGAGTTCCGCGGCGGCGGAGCCCCCAGTTCGCCACCCTAATCCTTTTCTCCCTAAGAGGGGAGTCCCTCGCACCTATTCCCACTGGACTTGAGGCTCACCTCGGGTGTCACCCGGTCTCACATCCACCACCGGCAACATTAAATCAAGAATCGTTTCTCTAGACTCGGGTGACCTCTCTCCGAGTTCGGCGCGGGCTGAACCTGAAAAGAAGCTGCCAGGGGCGGGGGCACTTTCGGGCCACCGCCTCCCGGGCTCAGGCACTGTCCCCAGAAGTCCGCTCCGAGAAGAGAAGAGATGAAGGGAAAAAAGGGTGGAGGGGAAAAAAAAAATCACAACTTTGTAGACTCCACCAAGTCACGGCCCTGCCCCACTTAAGGTCAAAGTGCAGATGAGGGAGCGGTTGCGGATCGGGGCCCGGCCGGCAGGCAGCTCCGGGCGCGGCGGGGCCCGCAGGCGGCCGGGGGACCCCACCCACGTCCAGCCGCCAGCCCCCCGCTCTGCAGGGCGAGAGCGCGGCGACGGCCGCCCACGGAGCTGCCAACTCCTGGAGTTGGCCGGGAACTTTCCCGGGACGCGCCGCCGCCGCCCTCACCTTGCTGAACACCTCCAGGTCGTCCTCGTCCTCGTCCAGGTCCAGCACGTCGGCCTGCAGCGCGGCGGACGAGCCGCTGCTGCCCGCGAGGGGGCCGCGGTCCCCCGGGCTCTCCCCGCCGGCGCCCCCCGCCGGGAGGCCCGAGGAGCGCTCCGGAGATGCCCGGCGCTCGCCCTCCATCCCGAGAGTGCGCGCCCGCAGGCCGCCGCCGCCAGCCCGGCTCCCCGGCGCGCGCCCATTGGTCCCGCGCGGCGGCGCCTCCCCGCCGGCCCCGCTCCAGCCCCTCGCCCGGCGCGCAGACGCGGAACTGCCGGGCCGGGCCGAGCGCGGGGCCGGGGCTCGTCCCCACCTGGCCCGGGGCCCGCGGGACACGCAGGATCGGGCCTCGCAGGCTTCCGCTCGCGGGGGGGCGAGGGGCTCAGAGGCAGCGGGAGGGCGTCCCGGCAGCAGCCTGGCGCGGGGCTGCCGAGCGAGGGTTCCCGCGGGGGCGGGGAGTGGCCACGCGAGCCGGGCGGACCGTCCACTCCAGCGGATCCTCGGCGGGGCTGGAAGGCAGCCGACCCATCTCGCCAAGAGAAAAAGCCAATAGTGTCCTTTCCTGTATTTTAATGGTTGCCTCTCTTCGTGGTTGTGGTTTTCGAGCCTGTTTTTTTTTTTGGTTTTTTTTTTTTTTTAACGAAGGCTAATGCAGAAAAATAAAAGACGTGAAAAGCCCTTCTGTTTTTGTAATTGATTTTTGACCCAGTGACCGGACTGTGTGGTCGTTTCACGGTCAAGCCAGGGACGTTGGATTTTAAAAACTATTTTCAGCCACTTTCATATGTGATTTTACTCCAGGAAATCTTCCTGAAGTTAATGAGTAAAATCGTTACAAGGAGCTAAGGGCAACGAGTAAGACTGGACGCTGCCATCAAGAAATAGTCTTCAGTCTTTGTGCTGCCGTTGCAATGCTGTAATTATTTAGATTGTCCACTGCTTATTCAAAAAAAAAAAAAACCAAAAAAAACTAAAAAGCTAAATTCCAAAAATAATGGAAAAAATGAATGCAAATTGATATATTTTGGAACGATCTTCAGGTTTTATTCTTTACTCCCCTAGGCCTAACTCTTTCATCCCACAGGCCTTGGAAAGAATGTCTAAGAAGTTTGCACAGAACCAGGGAGGAGGCTAATTCAGACTTGATGTATAAAACCTTTCCTGGCAAAATATTTAGCCGAATGTTTAAAATTTTTAACTTTAAAAAAATAAGAGATGTATTTAAGATATTTGAGGAAATAGAGAATTTCTCTATTTCTGATTCGAGGACAACGGCCTTAATATAGCCCCTCTTAACCACTCAAATGTACCTCTCAGTGGTTTCAGCTCATATCCGCGCTTGTTCAGTCTGGCTGGTCTGGCTGCCTGGTGAATATCGGGCCTCCTTCCTATGCCTTATGACCCCTGTTCCCAAAATGCCATCCCCTGCCCATCCTTCAGGAATTAACTATAGTCCCGTATCTTTTAGGAAGACTTTACAAATGACACAGTCTGTTCCCAAGTTAACATTTAATGTTATTCCATTTGTAGATATTTATTTTTATCTAACTGCCTTACATTCCTTATTAAACTATAACATTTTAAGGTTAGGGAATCACATTATTTATTAATAAACCACAACATCAGATGCTGTCACTTAAAACGGCTCTCTGCTAAGGTATATAAAGAAAACACGTAATTAAAAGACTGTTTTTCCTCTCTAAGCTCATTCTGGCTCCTGAGGAAGATTCCAGGTTTTCTCATTGCAATCTGAACCCGGAAATTCTTAAGGATACTGTGATTCACAGAATTGCCAGATAGCATTGAGACAGACTCAGAAAATGGGCAGAGCAAACCAAGACTACACGGCTTGGATCATAGTGAAAACCATGTCACAGAACTAATGGCGCAGCCATTGCTGCCACCACTGCTGAACAATCAATGCCATACCACTTCCACATACTACCTTTGACACTGATGTCACTGGACTCCAGGTGAGATGCTGTCACCAAAATAAGCAGCTGTCTCTGAAAACTGCCTCTGCTATTACTGCCACAAAAATGCTCCACGGTCCTGTTTCTGTGTGTTAATAGTTCCAGTTTCAAAACGCAGGACAGTAGATTTCCTTGGCCCACCTGGCCAAAAATTTTCCAAACATAGAAAGGCCATATTGATGCTGCTCAGCCAAAAAAAATAAATCCCTTATAATACTGCTTTGGCTGCCCAGCATCAATAACACATTTCTTCATATACTCTCTTTTCTCTCCATTCCTTGCTGAATATAGTTCAGCTATGCCTCAAGCACCTAGGAATATAGTCCCCAGCACCCCAAAGGAAGAAAACCCAAGCCTACTCAGGGGTGCAGCTCCAACTCAAATATGTCTTTTTCCCCTGCAGTTGTGCTGCAAACCTGTTGATATTTTGCAATTTATAAACTAATTTTTTAAATTTAATTACTAACATGCCATGCCTGCTTACTCAGTGGCATAAAAAATCCTAAATTCTCTAAAGTCTCAGCTTTCCATTAGATGGGCTCATCAATGGATTCTTTAATGGAAGAGATTTTAGTGGGGTATGAAAGCCTTTAAACCAGCATAGTCCAGAACTTTAAGTATAGGTATAGTATTAAGAGGAGCCCTCCCCAGTCCTATCCCTTGGTTTCTGGACCCTTATTCTGATTATAGGAGAAATAATATCATATATTAGTTTTGGTTCTGAGAATATATGTCTTGTTCCCTCTTTCTCTTCTGCACTTTCCACGTGTGATCCGAAACCATAGTTGTGTCTTGAATATGCCATTCCACCATCCATAAAGTCAGTTGTTTCTGGTGATGGGATTCACAATAAGACAAGTCCCCCATGAGCATGGTAGGATGGCTTTACTTCTTTTGCTGAAAGATTATTTAATTTGTTAGAAAACTGTTGTATGCAAAACTGATTAGAAATAAACCAGTCAGTAAGCTCATGGATGATCATGTTGAGAGAAACTTGCTGAGCAGGAAAAGCAAACCCAATGTATCTTTTCCATCAAGGACAAATCGTGACCTCCTCCAGATTGTGTGGCCAGTGGGAGGACCAGGAGTAGTTAGTTGCTGCTGTGGCGAGGTGAACTCTTAGCCATGGAAGCAGCCAGCTCTCCTTCAGTAAGGGGGAAATCCGTTTTGTTGAGCTGATGCATAGAGTATTAAAATGTAGTCAGTACATAATATATTAGTTTCAGGTGCACAACATAGCTACTCAACATTAATATACCTAATGAAGTGATCACCATGCTAAGTTTAGTGATCACCTGTCATCATACAAGAGTTTACAATGTTATTGACTATATTCCCTGTGCTGTACCTCACATCCTCACGGCTTACTTTATAACTGGAAATCTGTACCGCTTATTCTCTTTCGCCTTTTTTGTCCCCAACCTCTTCCCATCTGGCAACTATCAGTTTGTTCTCTATGTCTATGAGACTGTTGCTGTTTTGTATCGTTTGTTCATTTGTTTTTGTTTTTATAGCTTCCACACATAAGTGAAATATGGTATTTGTCTTTCTCTGACTTATTTCACTTAGCATACTACCTGTTAGGTCTATCCATGTTGTCACAAATGGCAAGATTTCATTGTTTTTTCTAACAAATAATATTTCTCTCTCTCTCTCTCTCTCTCTCTCTCTCTCTCTCTCTCTCTCTCTCTCTCTGTGTGTGTGTGTGTGTGTGTGTGTGTGTATACCAACCACAATTTTATCCATCAATGGATTCAGAAACAACTAAGGGTCCACAAGAGGTACATATTTCCAGCTTTGCAATATATTATAGTTTGAAATCAGTGGGGTTTTCCTTTTCTTATATGAATATTTTTACATATTCTTGAACCCATTATCAAGACTTCTATTCTCTTTCACTGATATTTCTGTGTAATTTTTTGTTTACTACTATATATTTTGATCACCATTGCTTTCTAATAAGATTTATTCTCTGATAAGGCAATTTCCTTAAAAATGCTCACACATCTATTCTTTCATTTATAAACTTTAGAATGATTGTGTCCAATTCCAAAATTTATTAGGGATTACCGCAAATGTAATTTAATTGCATTAAATATACGTATGTTAATAGATACACATAAATTTGGAAGAGATTGATATTTTAAGGCTATTAGATCAAATACTGGAATATTGAATGTTTCTGCATGTATTCAGATTATGTTGTACATCTTTCAATAAAATTTTCGTTTTCTTGGGCTGGCCGAGTGGCTCAGTTGGGTAAGAGCTGGCTTGGGAGCATAAGCTCTGAGCAGCAGGGCCACCAGTGCAGTTCCCGCATGGGTCAGTGATGCTGCGCCCTCTACAGCTAAGATTGTGAACAACAGCTCAACCTGGCGCTGAGCTGCCATGGGTGGCCGCTACGGCAAGAGCTACTGTTAGCAGCCGGCAGCCAGCGAGAGCTGCCATGAGCCGCTGTGAGCGGCTAGCTAATGGACAGCAACCGACTGCCTCAGCCAGGAAGAGAGCAATGATCTTAATACCAACATGGGCCAGTGAAGCAGTGTCTTCCACCACTAGACTGAAGAACAAAAGGACAGCAACTTGTCTGTTCCCCTTCCCCTATTCCCCAACGCTGTTCCCCTCCCCCAATTCTCCAATAAAATTTTTTTAAAAAATTAGTTTTCTTCAATACTTTATTTTTCTTGTTAATAAACCTAAAAATGGTACATTAGATCTTCCTAGCCACTAAAATATTGAAATGATTTCTTTAGTTATTCATATATTTCAGTGTGTTCTCATATAATAATTAATAAGCCCAAAGATTTATTGCTTGAGAAGTTGTTATACTTGTCTGTGACTATATCCATTTTTTCAAACACCTTAAGCCAATTTATCAAGAGTCTGAACCAAGAGATTCTGATGTGCCTGCAACTTCCATAAACATTTTATGCATTTAATTAAGATGCAAAATGGTTGATACATTAAACATTATGCAATGTTGAAATCTGAATATTAAATTATAAAATCATACTTGTGTGTGCTCATAAAAATTATTACCTATATATTATCAATGCTGCCTAAAAGTAATTTATATTCTATCAATAATTTATATGTGATTGTTTCTTTCCCAACAAGATCACTAGATGCTAGTAAAATTATAGCTTAGTACCATCAAAAGAAAACAACCACAGCTGAAGTTTGGCAAAACAGGCATAAAGTTAAAAATAGT